AGCTCTTTTTCAAAATCCCTGTAATGGTCATAAATATATTAACTTGTCCATATACACCCTTCCTCCTCCTCCTCTATACCTGTAAATAAATATCAGAAGAAATCCTTGAGTATTTGAATACTTCTGTTTAAAAAAAATCAACTTATTTTTTACAATTTCTTTTCCTTTCTGAAGGGGGAATAAAAGATTTGTATGCGAGACTGCATTTTGTCATTAAATTTAAGATGTTATATTTTGGAGTAAGCACTGTGAGCTCCTAAGCTGGCTGGGAGATAATGGCATTAGAGAATACATTGTTATTGTTACTGTTATCATTATCAGAGATTTTCTATCACTTTTCCCTTTTTGTAATTTCTGATGAGTGTTATTTTCAGGTCATTAGCCTACCGTATGAAGCTAATGAACTTGTTCACAACTGTGTGTACTTCCTTCACCTCAAAGGACGGTCATTGACACCCTTCTCTTCTGTCTACGGGTCGAAGCAATTCTCTTCTTAATGAAATACAGCACAGGTCAATATCAAAGATATGGAAATTAACGCGACCGGGGGCATCAATGCATTTATTTAACCTCTTCCTCCGCTGTTTTCTCCAATCGTCAAGTTTATTCAAGCGATATCAAGCAGATCCAAATCTGACCTGAACCCCTGAACAATTAACCCTCCAGCAGCGTTTCATATTTTGATTCCGTCTCTTGTTGTTTTCCTTATTTACTTGAACTGTAGGCCTTGTGCGTGCGAGAGTGTGAGTGTGATATAGGTCATCAAGCACGCTTTGTGTCTGGTCATTACTTCTTTCTTGATTGGAATATTGGAATGAATAAGTGGCTGGCCTCAAGACAAAGGGGATCAAAGAAACCCAATTGACCCCCATTTAGCTCAGTCTACTCCTCCTAGGCTGCCACTTGCAGACCCCATTCAATTCTACTACCAGTACTTAATTTCATTAAAGGTACTATGTCCCTTTTGCAGCTTAACCTCAAATGTTGTAGAACTTTGCAGGAATTATGAATATGTCATGTATGTCCTATCTGTGAAATTTAAACGTTAGCAGTGTCCTCATATTCAAATTATGCAAGGAAACCCGTTTACTTGCTAGACTTCACTGTCAGACACTATTGAGTGAGTGACTGGCCTTTTTTCTTCTTTGGCAATAACATACATGAAAAGAGTTGTAAAGGGTACATGAGCATTTGTCTACATCAATAACCCACTTCTTGTGATGGCCAAGATTAAACTGATTGAATGTTTGCGCAGCATAAAACGTATGACCATTCGGTACAATTGTCTGAAAATCAAGACTATTACTTTCGGGCTCTATAGCCCTAAAGTCGATTTGACAACTAATAGTCGTTATTTTCCCACTTGAAGACATTTTCAAGCCCCACATTTTATTGGGAAGTTCTAAATTAGTATTATCTTTCAAATGCAGTTGGAATTTAACTTTTTTATATTTTTGGCCTGCAAATGGGACATAGTCCCTTTAAAGTTGCTAATACTTGCTAGAACAAGATTACAATTTAAGTATACAGGAGTTGCTTTTCCAAGGATATAGAAACTCTTCTTGATAAAACATTACATTTTCAAGAAAATAAATATTGTATGAAAAACAAGGTGATGAAAATGGTCTTCATGAAATTGAATTATGGAATATGTAGATTAACATAGTTTTAGAGAGGGTGTATTTAAAAAAAAAAATGTTTTATTGCAGTGGGGTTATATTGTTATTTGTCAATTGGCTTATACATTAAATGTGCAACTTTCAATGCTACATCAGACTAGCGTTGGTGAAATGAAGACTGTCTGTGAAGGCTAATGTACAGACAAGCACTGATTACTGTGTAACCCTCATCAGACAAGAGTTGGCTTTGATTGGAACCGAGCAGGGGCTGAAAGCTTAACTTTCACCCCCAATCCAACCCTCCCTAGCTGGCCTGCCGTTACCCTCCACTGCCCTTCATCTGCCCTCTCATCACCCTCTGCTGTTGAACTGTCACTGACTTGCCCCAGAGCCAGACAGAGTTCATGACAGGTTTGAACTTGGGTTGTCCCACCAATTAACTGGTTTGAACTCTGCTTGTCCTGACCATTCACTGGTCTGAACTTGGATGATTCATCCAGTGACCTTTCACTACTAGTACTTCTCCCAATCACACTCCTCTTGTAATCCCTCAATCTGAACTTTCCTGGAAGACCTCTGGCTCTGTGGTTGTTCGTCTTCCTGTGGTTTTGTCAATGAGAAGCTCCTTGGATGTATCTATTTGATCAGGGATATAAGTTCACCAGGGATGCCCTGTAAAACCTCATGACCTTGGCTCCCCATCATTTCCTTCTGTGATTCTAGATACTGAACAAAGAGTGTTTCTTTTAAAAAATAAAGTATGGCTTTAAGAGTAAAGATGAGTATAAAGAGCTAGTAGATATTTTGGAGTTCATTGTCAACTGTTGAAATAGAATATTGTAAGTTTTTCAAATCATCCCAATTTTGTCAAATTTATTAACTCTTGGAGAACATAACCAACAGTGATATGCACTAAACACAAATGTATATGTAAGAGTGTAGTCACAAACCATGGGCATAAAATTCAGTTTTTATTTCTTTAAAAAAAAAAAATTGTCAAAAGCTGCATTTACATTGCAAGCAAAAATCATCATTTTTTTCACATTCTGGTGTTTCATTGGTAAAAACGCAACAAAAAACCCGACAAACCCAAAATGGGCAAACACCAATGGTTTTTGAGCTATGTAAATTGGCTTTATATTCAAGATATGATGAAGTATTTAAACAGCAATCTTCTTCTTGGTATCCTTCCACCTGGGGATAAAAAGAATGGGGAAGCTTGCAATCTCCTTTCCACCATTACCAGTATTCAACCTTCTTTTTATAGAAACTAGTTATACCTGCATAAGTGAAGTTCAAGTAATCTGTGTGATTGGAAACAATTCACTGGTAGTGTAATTACTGCACATTAACTTGTTGTGTCTAATTAGCACAGCGCTTGACGACCTTCTGGCTTTCAAAGGAAAACATGATTAAGCTACCTATATAGATCAAATATTCCTTATATCATAATTCATATTAGTTAATTGATAATTGGCCAAGTATTTATCATGTTACAAGTATATTCAGAATACTGATCAAGACCGTATCAAACAATTTCATTTAAAACTCATACTTTGAACCAAGAATGCATTCGAGGGTTGAAACGCATGCATTGCAAAAATAAAGAAACAAACTGATATAAATTTTTAAAAATTGGTGTGACCTAGCCATTATTTGCCTGAAAAAATAGGTGTTATTATACATTTCTACTGGGAAATCTTTCTCTAGAAACCTTGAGGCTAGGCTAAGTGATAGTCAGATAATCTTTAGGAGGAAACTTATATCATTTTTTTTTAATGCAGTCATGTGAGGTTGAGCTACTGTGAGATGTGGTTATGAAAGTCAAATTGAGTTCATGAGAGGTTTGAACTCTCCTTGTCACCATCCAGACCTAAGATTGAACTCTCTTATGATAGCAACTAGAGTCTGCTGACTTCCAATGTACCTCTAGCTCTGGGGAGAGCTTCATACCATCTAGTCTCTACACCTAAACCTTCATCTATCTCTTCCTTCTCCTCGTTCTCTTTGTCCTCTTCACTTTCCCAATTTTATAGAATCAAGAACCAATCGTCTGATGTGTAGATGGGCAAATTGATGTATCTTTGTTGAGGCAAATACAGAAAAATATTAATTTCTTATTTATAAACCAATAATTTCAACATTGTTCTTTTTCTTTTAACACAAGTTTGTTCAGGTCCTTGTTGAATGAGATATAATGGCAGTATTGAAATGGTTGGACCTTTTGCTTGCATTTCTACACACCTGGTACATATATGGAAGGAAAAGCTCTAAAAAGGCAATATCAGGGCTTCAATAGCAAAACATATGTATTTTTCCCAATGTCAAACTCTTAAAAATCTAACAGCAACTCTTCACATTGAAGATTCAGTACCTCATCAGTTTGGGTATTCTATTTTAGCTACATCATGTAATGTCAAGAGGTCTGCATTGGACAAGACTCTCCCAATCATGTGTTTATGACACTGTTTCATAACTCCATAGATCTCATGTCCGCTTTACAAACAGGATATCCTTTCCTTGAAATATATTGTTTGCATAAAGCAGTGTCGGTTACCTATTAAAGAGTTGAACAAGAAAACATATCATATGGCAATTTTGATCAGGAAGATGGCCATTAATCATTCTCGTTAGTCCTTGTCTCTTGAGCCATCTCTGGTAATCCAAGCTTGATGGTGTTTGTTTTTGAAGAGTGGCTATAGTGAGATGGAAGTTTAGTACTGGTAAGCTCTAGGTTCCTCTATAAAGATGTACTAGCTGAATTCTATAAGTTTTTCTTTGTGGCATAGTTCAAATGTGTGACTCATTAAATCCATTTGATTTTTAGCTGATTCAGACTGAAGAGAATTGATACAAAACTTGAAATAAAGAAACTATACTTGAAGAAATTAATATTGAAGAGGACAATTGACATGAAAGCTGGACAATCATCAGTGCACGCTTTTCATGATAAGCCCCTCCCAGTTATACAATTTTTAATATGAAATGATTTTCATACTATAGCGGGAAACCCTGATTCTCATTTGACAGACATTTCATTCAGACTAGAAAAACATACAATGTGCGGACAAAAAAGTAGTTCCTTTATGTATAACTATACATTAAATTCTGGTAGTCTGAATAGAGGGTTATTATTCATGAAATCTTCACTTTCAAGCAAGATGATGAATGGAAGGCTGAATGTTTGGGGTTTGAGATGAAATGATATAGTACAATGTTAATTGGAGTGTCCCTTCACTCTATATTTCATCAAAATACAATTTTTGTGATGAGGTACATAATAACAAGATTTGCATTTGTTTCCCCTCCTTCTTTCCTCACTTTGTCTCACTCTCCGTCTCTCTCTCTCACTTTCTCTCTCTCTCTCCCTCTCTCTTCCTCCCTGTTCTCCATTCTCTCTACAGGATGAGCTTCAAACCACTACTAAGAACTACGAGAGTCAGCTGAGTATGATGAGTGAACATCTGTGCAGTATGAATGAGAAGCTAACATCTCAGAAGGATGAGATCGATGCCTTGAAGCTTTCTATGAAGGTAAGAAGTTCATCTGTGATGTAGGATGAGGTAGGATTTTGTAATGAAAGGATTAGAACAGAAGATTATACGCAATAAGCCATGAATATCAAACAGGAGCAGTAATCCAGATATTATCAAAGGGTTTGTAATAGTCTGTTAAGAGCGAGAAAGGCGTTAAAGCTAAAGACCATTTATGGTCATGCGATTGCATTGTGAAAGAAACATTGTGAAATTGATCAGAAAAGGTTGATCATCTAGCATAAATGTACTGCAAGGAAATTTGGCCAAGTCTTCATAAAGTTAGAATCACTGTACACAGAAAGATGTATTTGGGACTACACACACGTGCGCGACACATGCATTTGTATCTCTCAACAGGCAAGAGATACACTAATTAACCAAACATATCAATTAGTAGGCGGTTTCCCGTCAACATTTTTTTTATTTTTCAAAACATATTCTTTCACATGATTGGTAATAAGAGCTTCCATTTCATTTTTTGAAATTGGGGCGTTTCCAATACTGGTCTTTAGCTTTAACTCTTTGTTAAAAAAATATGAGTTAACATCCTTTTGTCTCCAAGCAGACAATAAATAAACAAGTCTCATTAACCACAGGGTGAATGCCTTTCTTGTTCCTAACAGACCATTATTGAGATGGAGCAAGACTTATAGCATGTAAAGTCCAATGTGTAGGAAGGATGATACTGGAAGACATATCTCCGTCAAAATTGAAGAAAAAAGGCAAATTTTACCAATGGTATGGAAGAGATGAAAAGTTGTCGTTGAATTGAAGTACATGTTTTACTGAAGGACAGACACTGATTAAGTAGATTGAACAAGTAAATTGGAGGTTCGTGTGGGTTGTTGTGATACACATAGAGAGGAACAACATCAATTGCAACTAGAAGTTTGAATTATTTGAATTATTTGCGGGGGGGGGGGGGGGGAAAGACCATTTCTTAAACATAAAGATGGTGATGATGTATCTTTAAAATAAACCACCTGTTAATTCTCATTCACAATATCTGTTTTGCCACTTTTTATTTTCCTCTTTTATTTCAGCAGCAACATGGCAAGAAAGGCAGAGGAAAGTGAAGGGACTATTCAAGGCACAAACATCATGTAGCTTTACCTTTAAAAGTGTTTATCATTGAAATAGATTTTTTAACTCTTCTTGTAATATCAGGAGATTAATCATGAGAATGTATGAAAACAAGGCAGGGCCTTGGTTTTTACCAAAAAATATCTTACTTGCTGACAATTGCTTGTGTATTAAGGTATTATAACTGACCAAATCATGTATGGATATATGCAGATGTTATGATTCTCTGTGCTATGGAGCTTATCTTAGTGTTATGGGCAATAGGGTAATCTCTTACATTTGTCTGAGATTGATCTCCTCCAAAATTGATCTCCAAATTCTTAAGACAATCCCAGAGGTTACATTGTGAACTTATATGTAGGTATGTCTTTTTAGAGTATGTTTTATATTCACATTTATACGCCTTAGAAAATATTGTCAAACATGTAATTCTAGGGTTATAAATCAGTTTTTGGTTTTGTTTGGGGTTAGGGTTAGGTAGAGTGTTGGGTCCATGGTTAGAATTTGACTAATCTAAGATAATGACTTGCGTTATCATCCATAAGTACATGATTACCTTGGATTGTATGCACTTAACACATTCCATCATTACGCTGCTAACCTTTATAGGTAATTCTTGATCATTGAGAAATATAATCAGAGGCTTCAATTTGTCACCAAGTACAAATACTTTAAATTAGTCATCACAGGTATTCTGATGGGGATCATAGTAAAATACAGTTATTTTTAATGTTATGCTGCAATTTGTCATCGCTTACTACCCAAGAGGATTCTAATGGCTAAAAGTTTGCATATCCTAGGGATAATGCTTTGACTACATTTTCTTTATGTTTAGTAGAACAATAGGAACAAATTACTTTACTTTGGTATTTTTACAGTTTTATAGAGTTAAAAAAAAATATATATATGCCAGTAAAGAGCACTTTTGAAGGAAACAAATTGAAGTAATTGGTGATATCTATTTGAAATTGCATAGAAATTCAAAATCACCCTTTAGTAAATATTGTTACACCCTAATTAATTAGCAATTTCTTTTCTTGCTGAAGATCGTAGAATTAGTGTCAAACACTATTTCAGATGCCTTATAAACTAAGTTGACTTTCATACCTATCAGTACATAAATACCAAGAACAAACCTTGTAGTAATCACATAATTTGGAGGAGTTTTTTAAGGAGTTGAACCTTAATTCTTTCTAAGATCATACATTATATATTGACCTTGAATGTTTGTAATGCATTCTGTATATTCTTGTGTTATTGCTAGTAGTCTACCTGTGAGAAATAGTCAAGTAAAATGAAAAGAATTTTAAATCAAAATAGAAATCCTCTCTGCGTTTGATATGACATCTAAAACCTATCCATGTACCGGTAGTAATAAATGTGGCTTTCAATGTATGTATGATTTTTTGTTTATAGCTAATTATATGCAATATGTAGATACAAACTTACACTCCCATACTGACCAGATACATTCAATATTGAATATAAGCTACTTTTATTATATTTCCATCAAATAATTATACTAATGAGAGATGTGTTTTAACACAATTTGAGCTATTACAAGAGCATCAAATATGAGGTAGAGGTCCTCTTTCTGATCCGGTAAATTAATCTCAAATACCACTCATTGTGGATATAAGAATATCATTTACGTCTCTTTTTCATGGTTGAATTCGTCCTAATCATATTATTTCATCTTTTCATTTATTTTAAATAACTAGAACTGAAATTAGAATGCTTTCAAAATTGTTGTAAAGTTTATGAAAGAGGACTCAAAATCCAAATAAAGTTTGTCATGTATCATTTGATTAACTCCTAAATGTTGTCATTTACCCCCCCCCCCCCCACCCCACCCCACCCCCGTTTGTGTTTAGTGTTGTGTGTTATAGAAAAAAGAAGCTTGTTGTTTGAGTACAATTTGTGTGTTTGCATGAGGCACTGTTTATAATCATTGCTCAAAGTCTGAGAGCATATAATGAGGTTGTTTTTCATTTGGTATTTGATTTGAACTTTTTACAATTTTTTTATTGATTTGCATAACTTTTTTTTATTTTTAAGCAATAAGATTTTTATTTTCAGTACTTGTGTTGTTTGCCATTTATATAAAAATATGTATTTTCATGTATTTCTTTTATTGCCATGTATTTAAACAAGGCGATGAAGGGAATTTTAGAATAACATCAATGGTACAAGTTGCAACTCATATCTTTTGAGCAAAGTCATTTATCAGCTTGCCATGAGAATGAAGGAGTATGGGTCGTTAGTTAGCCTGTAATAATTGGAGGAGAATAAGCTTGCCAAATTTGTGTTTGTACCAAATATTTCTCCTCAGGTAGTCAGTACATATTGTATCACCTTTCTGCATGTTACAATGATAATTTGAGAGTGTAAATCTGAATACATGTATATCTGAATACTTTTTTTGCTATAATCTTCTTTCTAGTATTGTTGCTTTCTTGTTAATGGATTTCAAGCTGCACAAGTGTTTACCATCTGTGTTATCTGTAGGGCATGCAAGTATCTTGTGATAATTTCCCACACTTTGCTCAGTGATAACTTTATCTTTACCAAGTTATTTTTTTCTTGTTACTATCATTTTTTGATGTGCCTGTAATATCTCTTAATATGTAGCTTGACATTGTGTCCATTTAAAAAAATCACATATAATTATTGCTTGACTGAAATCTGTGAACATTACAATAGCCTCATACCCCGCCCCCCCCCCCCCCCCAACTCAGTGTTATTTAGGGTACGCGTATGCATGTTCCTTCCTTTTGAAAACACCCCCCTAAGTCCGGTGTGTAATACGGACCGGACTTTGGTGCGTGAATAGTATCCCTTTACCGGACATTTTGGGAACACGAATACGGTCCTTCCGACCCCGGAGTGGGGGGGCCGGGCCTTATACATGATAAATTTTTTATTTCTTTTCCTCTATTTTTATAACTGCATTTTAATAATACTATCTATTAAAAATTGTTGCTATTTCTGTTTGTTTAATAGGCTATGAAATAACATTTATAAACAGAATGATTTAGTCTCTCCTCCTCTTGTTTTCTATAATTCTATCTGTTTGGAGTCACAAAGGTGTTAACTAGCATACATCAACCGTTTTGAGCCCTTATGGCTCCAAACAGATGAATATTATGTTTTGTTCAATAAGATAATGAGAAAAGAACAAGTAGGAAGAATAATGGCACATTTATTTAGTGACAACTGAGGACTTTTACTAGTAAAGAAAAAATAGTAACTCTGAATACTGATATTGCGAAAAAAACGGTTTGCATTTTACATTTTAAATTGCTTTGGTTGCATGCATGCAGATGTTGTCTCCATCACAAAGAGGTCGATAAAGCAATGTTTTTCCCCAATGCGGCAGGCATTCTTAGATAAATGTTATGTAAATAGAACTGAATATAGATTGTGGATTATAACAGTAATATGATACAACTAGAGCATTGTAAGTATGTAGCTCAGTATGTATAAATAACATTGAATTATAACATTATGAACACAAATTTGTTTTGGTTTTCACTTGATGTCTATTTCTGAGAATGATTGTTAATAATGATCTAATGAATGTTGTGCAAAGACATGTAAGATCAAGTGTGATGAGGAGGAGGAGAGAGAGAAAGATTAAAGATGAGGTTCATTCTGGTATTTTGGTTCTTGTAAAGGCAGACAAATTATAGAAATATATGAGTGAAAGTTTGAAGAAATCAGACATCCTGAAAGACATATAAATTTCCATTTTCTCTATAGAAAATACTTAAGTATGCGTGCAACCTATTTGAAATGAGCATACTGTATTGAAATGAGTATACTGTATTCCTCTATCAAAAAGTCAAGAAAATGGAAATTTATAAGAATTTTTAACACAAAGCAAAAATACAAATGATTTGTCATGGAGTTGCCAATTTAAGTTTGATCGTTTACATATTTGTAAAAAAAGGTATTGGATTTCCTGAAAATTTCACTGGTTTATTTCTCTCATATCCAACTTTTCTTAAAACCATTTTAATATCAGAGTGGAGTTCCCCCCATAGGTGTTTTTGAAAATTACAGACACAAGATTATTAGTGAGTGGGTAATTTTTTTTTATTTCTCCAAATGTGTAATACAAACAACATACAATTGAATAAAATAAACGTGTTCAATATTGATTGCTTTTACATAAACATAATTTTAAAAAAACTTATTTGCAGTATATATATAACTTAGCAACAAAGTATTGCGTATAAGTACCTAAACATAATATATATATCAATTATAAATGTTATTCACTTATATTTAAACAAAATAACTTAAACAAATCTGGAGGTAATGCCTTTCCATTAATGTGATAAGTTAACATGGGATAAAACAGAAAGAAGGAAAGAGAGAAGGGACAGAAGTTGATGAATAGTAAGACAGATCATATTTATCACCTCTGAGCTTTTATGTGATGGCGCTATTCAAAAACTTAATTTGTACTACATTGATCTCGCTTCCCCGTGGAGTGTTGCATGATGTGGAGTAAGTTAGAAACCCTAGCATTCCCTTTTGCATAAATTGTATAGCACCACACAATGCTTTTCATTGATGAGACCTTTATTTGGTTTGTTCATTTGTAAATTCCTATTCTTTGCAGTGATACAGAGTGGCTTTGTTATTGTTTGGAAGAGGAGGACATTGTATATAGAGAAAGGAAGGAGGAAGGACGGGAATGAGAAAGGGAGAGGGGAAGGAATTAGAGAAGAAGTCCGGGAAGAAGTAGGAGGAAGGGAGAGAAGAAGGAGGGAGGAAGGGAGAGAAGAAGGAGGGAGGAAGGGAGAGAAGAAGAAAGGAGGAGGGGAGAGACGAAAAAAGGAGGAAGAGGAGAAGAAGGAAGGAGGAGAGAGAAGAATGAGGGAGAGAAGGATGGAATGAAAGAGAGGGAATAAGATGGGAGGAAAGAAGAGAAGAAGTAAGAGGGGAAATGAAAGAGGAAGGGGAGGGAGGGAGGGAGGGGGAATGGTGGGGAGAAAGAGGAAAAGAGAGAGAGAGGGGGGGAGAGGTGTTAAAAGAAGAAAAAAAAACAGAATAGAAACATGCAAATGATAAAAGACAGTGGTTTTCACATATAATTTAGAATGACAACAAGAGATCACAAGGTGGCGCTATACCAGAAATATAAATGGATAGGTTCAAGAGTAGTAGGAATTTTTCTTGTCTTGAAGAGAGCTTGGTTTTAATCTGAAATAGCTGCATTGTCTATTCTTGGTACATGAATCATCAATTTTAGAACATTTGCTTCTGCACACTTGACATTATTTATCGCTAATGTTTTCTAGCTCTTTCCATTTTGAACAAATTATAAACCAATTAAACTTTTCCCCAATAAAAAAGGGAAAAAGTATATATAATATAAGGTTGGTGAAAGATGATCGATAGCCTCAACTTTAGGCCGTTACCTTTGGACATTTTTTTGTTTACCTAAGAATTTAAGATAATCAAAATTTAGCAAAGTATGTGCAGTTCTTTTAACTCTCAGCATATAATAAATCTTTGATTACATAACCAAAGAAATAAATGTGAATCATTTACAAGACTTGTAAAAAGCCTCTAACACTACCTTATCTACTTTTGAAAAATCTAACTAAAGATAATTTGTCAACAGCTTGGTGCGTCATGTATCGATATGTGCGGATATGATAACGACGTATTGTGCCATTTGAACATAATTTCTATTGGGTAGGCCTATACCAGGGACATTCATTTTTTTAATTTTTTTTTTTTAATTATTTTTAAATAATAATAATAAAGGAACCCTTAGTTCCTTAAAAAATTAAAGTTCCTTTCAATATCATGAAGCATCTTAAAATATTAAAGCATCTTATTTTGCAGTGACTCTATTGATCATCTAAATGACCCTTCAAATTGAAGAGGCAAAGGGGAATTCGTCGGCGCATACAATCATGTCAGTAAACAGTCAACAGAGGGCAGTCTGATTGTCAACAAAATGGGCAATCTCGCCTGGAAATTGAGAAGTGATCATTCAATTCAAGATTTGTGTTTGAGTACATTTCTTACCAGAAGATGTCTTATCTTTATCAGCCTTTCAGATCATTCTCAAGATGTCATTTCACACAATTGAGAAGTTATGCATCAGGATCGAGCGTCTTGCTCTGGTTTCAAAAGGGAGATAAAGCCGCTGTATCGAAGAAATTTAGCCGGGAAGACGTGCGACTTTTCGCCGAACTCTCCGGGGACACGAACCCCTTGCATACCGATGAGGAATATGCTGCGAAGACGCGATTTGGCAAGACTGTTGTTCACGGAGTTCTGTTGAATGGGTAAATGATCAGATGAAGTTTTTTTTTATTACAGCCTAAAAGGGCAAATGTAATGGAGCAACTTTAGAATACCCCACCACTAAAATTGACCAAACGTTTGTAGGGTACCAAATACTTCACCAATGGAGCTAAATCTCGAGACTTGATGATGATATTCTTTTAATTTAAGTAACCCTAGGGTCTAGTCTACATCTAAGGTGGTACTGGACAGGACCAATCGGTATATACGTCCAGATTTCCGTGGCATCGCAAACTGTCAACAAACATCACAACTGAGGGTGCAGAGTTCAAAAATCAAAAACAATAAGGTGCTCATAAAAATAGAGCGGGTTGCAGACCTCATCTAATTTTTAGATGAAGTAGAGCCACATCGACTCTCTATCCCGCCTGTGTACAGCTGGGCTGAAAGTTGCTAAACCTAATCCTAACCCTAACTCCAACCCCAACCTAACCCTAACCTTAACCTTAACCCTAGGTCTTTGACGTTTTAAGTACATAAACCCTATATTGGTGGGGTATTCTAAAGTTAAGGGATCGTTTAACAATGTTAAAGCTGAGATGCACAGCCCTATGTGTTATCAGTGTCTGTGATACGGTGTTGGGCCTATATTGAAGCCCTAAAAATTTGCGCTTCATAATGATCAAGAAGTGCCTCAAAAAAGTGCAAACCTTTGAGTGATCGGTTTTCCCCAATAGACTAGTGTTATGAAAACCATGTGGCAAACACAAATTTGATTTCAATTTTCAATCATAAATATCTTGATAATCAGACAGGCGATCGGCTTGTAAAAGTCATTGGGTCCCTGAATGTCCTAAAGGTTTATAATTATCATTGCAGCATGAATGAGCTAATTCAAGGATTTTTTTAATGGATCTAAGACAAAGTTACCAGATCCCTTTGAGCCAGGCAAATCACCAAGTGATGTCCACTAAGTCAATCAAATGTGAGTGAATTGTGATTTGAGAAAATAAGATTTTTGTTTCGTTGATCGAGTTACACTCAAGTCTCAATATCAAACACAAATTGGCATCTCTGACTTGTTTTTTTAGGTTCTCTCTCATTTGATCTGTAACTGTAAGTTAGACCACATTTTTACTTTCTTTAAAGAAAATTTCCGTCATCAGGCACCCTAGAAATGATCATGGCGATGGCATATGTTTTTAGGCTATACAGGTTGAGATACTTCTATGTCCCGAACTTGGTTAATTTCACACATGGCAGCATTACTATCCTGACTGTGTATAAAGTTAGGTGATACTGTACTGCAACTGCAGTACATTGATGCAACATTTGGTAAAAACCTGCTATATGATACTTTCAAGTGAAATGGTCTATTTGTTCTATCACAGTTTGGCATCTGCTGTTATGGGAACCAAGCTACCAGGGCCTGGAACCATTGTTATATCCCATTTTTCTGAATTCCCCAAGCCATGTGAGTACTGTAACATCAGTTTAGCTGCTCAGAAAATGATAAATTCACAAACTATTAGAGAAATGATCCTCACTTCAAGTTGTTATCATTTTTGTACTGATCCTGGTGGCAAAGTTACAGGGGGCATGGGGTAATCAATGCACTAAGCATGCCCGAGTTCAATTTGCATTTAACACCTAAATATTTTGTTTACAAAAACCCATCCTGGGCTGAATACCATGAGGAACTTCTCTTGGTTGATAGCAATGAGGAATGCATTTTGATTACCTCCATCATGAGTGAGCTTATATACATTTTCACATTCTTTACATCACTTCACTCTTATGGTATGGTATGGTAATGATTTTATTGAAAAATCATTTGCAGCCAGATGGCTGAATTGCATAATTGTGTATGTTGCATAAAAACATAAATATCTATACAAACATAAATATCTATACAAACATAAATATCTATACAAACATAAATATCTATACAAACATAAATATCTATACAAACATAAAAAAACTACAGTAAATAATCTAGCAAATCGTATTAAGGCATATCACACAGTGAATGAATTTTTTTAATAAATCAGTGTACACCTATTACAAATTAATAAAATTTGCTTAACAGCTAACAGTTGCTTAAATATATACCACAATCATCATATATGACATATATATGAAAAGAATGTTTGAAATAAGAGAGAAGAGAGAACGAAAGGGCTGGAGGGAAATATAGAGTTAAGGACCTTCTGACTCTATACAGATGATATGGAATTCAATAAGAAACATGTGGTATCCCCTTGTCACTTAGATTTCACTATTTATTTCACAGTTCACCACTGATGGCATAACAGTTTATTTCTTAATTTCTCTACTTTTTAGTTTTTACCATTATCTCTCCTAAAATTAGGAAAAGACAATTCTCATTCCATTGACAATGGGATACCACCTGTCACTTATTGAATTCCAAATATCATCTGCATAGAGTCAGAAGGTCCTTAACCCTATTTGAAAGTATAGGAGATAGAGCCCCTCTGGCTCCTTACAGGAAATATGATTTGTGGTTTTTGGAGTGCAGCAAGAGATTGTAAAGCAGTAGATTAGAATTCACTCAGTTGTTTCTTCATTTTCTTAATTTGATTAGAAAATGTCAAATATGTGTTTTAAAGTGACATTTTAACTACTTTATCATTGTGTATGTTGCCCTTCACTATTTATATTATTTCCCTTGCAGTATTTATTGGAGAAGAGGTCATAGCTGAAGTGGAAGTCACTGATGTCAGAAGCTTATTAGTGAATTGCGCCATCACTTGTCGAGTTCCTGAAAGGAATGAGGTAGGCTGTGAAACACATGTATGATAGGATTTTAAGATGATGTAGAAATGCCTCATACGGGGCATTTTCAAAAGTTGGGTCAGTGCACCCAGATGTTGTTGGTATGAGATCAAGAAAGGGATTTAGTACCAATGTTCAAGAGTTAGATGCCAACCCATAGGTTAGGTACCAAATGGTACTCGTACCCTAAAGAGCTTTGGTAAAATATCATTCCATGTGCAACAGTTAAGGAAGGTCAGTGATGATCATAAATATGTGAAAAATATAACATGAATAGATTAATTAATCCAAAATTCAATATTATTCCAGTAGAATATAAGATTCAAATTAATATATCTGTCATGAAAGTAACTACACATCTAGGTCATAATCTCCATTACAGTTTATGACTGATTCAAGTTGTTGTGAAATCCTGAGTACTTTAAAGTATTGTGAAATGTTTCTGTTCTTCTAGTTTTGAGGTTCAAGAATGCATCCAATAGGAAACTTTCAGTTTTTAGGCCTTTGACTTTGTTTTCATATTTTGTATTTCTTATATAAAAATGCCTATTCCAAATGTATCAAATTTCAGCGTTTAAAGTCATACTAATTGTTTATATCAGTAAAATTATTAAAGATTTCTTATATACAGTGTATTTCAGACCCTCATCAATTCACAATACATTGATAGACATTGATTTTTTAAACTTGTTTCTTAATTTTTCAGATTGTAATGACAGGGACAGCTACTCTTCTTGCCCCAAAGTCAGCCAGGAGAAAGAAAGTCAACCCCAATTCAGAAGAAACTTGAAAACAAGGTGTCAACTATGAAACAGATCATTTGCAAAATAATTAGCACTGTCCTTGAGACAAGACTGTTGTACTATTGGTAAATTTTACCATATTTTGGTTTCTGCAAGCTCTATCAGAATTCTTCTGTTGAGTTGATGGTTAAAGTCGAGTCACTGAGAATATGTGATGTACCACCATAGATGGAGCTATTGCAGTGTACTCATGTATCCCAAGGATATATATATGTGGTGGTGGTTATTTTACCTGACTGCTAAGAAAGCATAAATGCTTGTTAGTAAGCTACCAGACGGCCGACAGCTTGAAAACAAGATGTCAACAAAGAAATGAAACAAAGAGAGTAAGATAAAACCAGTACCGGTATGTGAATTTTAAATCTGCTTACACCTGGTCAAAAGATCATGTCAAAAACAGGAATAAGCCCCAAAATTTGATATGATATTATGATACTCATTATGTGCAATAGCTCACTGATTAAATCAGTGATCGTGATACTAGGTGCTGGTTCAAAAGCTGAAATACAAAACGAAACAACCTGCATAACGTTAGGACTTCTAATTATGTACTGATCACTCAATTAACTGTTCATGAATTCATGTCAGAGAGTTAGATTGTTAATAATCATGTGGTTTTAGTTACTGGTACATTATATCTCCTTTAAACAAATCGCGTAGTATTAGTCATCTATTACCCAGTCTCTTTGGAAGGAAGTAAACTGTATGGTCTCTGTATGATTCTGTACGAATATATTCATGCAATATTCAAGTGAAATAAATGGCAGTCTGTCAAATTAGGTTACATGTAATAGGAAAACATGGGTATAACTCTGCTCTAATCACTAGCAGAACGAGTTAGAGTTATATCTATCTGATGGTTGATATGTCAAAGTTAATAATTCATAATATCACCCTTTGAGATTCTGTCAAAGTATTGAAGGCAATGACACATTTGCCTGTTCAGAGCCAGAAGGGTATTGACTCTATTATAGTGTATTATAAATAGATATCCACGGTGCCAAACAGATTCTTTCTTCTTGTCTTGTGAAAACTTTCATGATTGTAGGGGAATTCAAATGTGATGTCTTCCTGGAAAAAGTACAACATATATGTACATGTATTCATTTACTGAAAAAAGGCTTTTGTGCATATACTGCATAATGAAATGATCACAAACAAAATCAAAGTTACAGATGTCTCACTAATGACTATTTTGTTGTCCTTCTCTAGGAAGAGATGTGTGATTGGTCTGAATTTGGTTGAATATGGTGACTGATGCCAAGTTTCATGATGAGAGTGGGACACATAAATAAGAATGAATTTGTGGAAAAGAATGGCAGTTCCACTGTTGATAGCCAGAAAGCATGAATACTGTAAATGCTATAAGTTAATGCCCTTCTGCCAATCAGCAAACAGTTTTAATTATTAAGGGGGGAAAAAAACAAAAAAACACATCCAATCACAAACTTAAAACCAAAGTTTGGTGGTAATTGTGATGGTAATGGTGGGGGTGGTGGTGATGATGATGGACAATAGTTTAGTAGTGGTGAGATTGGTATATTGGCATCGCTAGTGGTGATTGTGCATGGTGTTGGGGGTGCAGTTTGTGCAATGTCAGGTGATGATGGTGTTGTTGCCACATTATGACAGTGATAAAAAGGTGCTCAAGATTGTGATTGAAAAGACCGAAATCGGTGTTTAATACATTGACTAATCAGAAAATACAGATTGTATCTGTACAGTGCGTCCCAGAAAAAACGAAACCGAGAATTATCAATGTTTTATCATAACTTAATCACAATTATAATTAATAAATGACACATATTTGTAAAGCTTAGATCCTCCTCTTTCAGTTGATGTAACACATATAAAAAAAAAAAATCAGCCATGCATCAAGTCTTTCGTCTTATTGATGCATGGCTGATCGTCAACGAAACAGAGTTAAGCAACTCTGTTGCTACGGCAGGCAGCAAGTGAAAACGAATTTGTTTAATCAAATTATGGAAATGCAAGCATTACTTTAAACAAACAGAACGTTGTTATTCCTGGCTCATTTTTCCTGATTGAGGTCTCATATGAAAGGGCAGAAAATGAACTTTCTAGACATATGATTTTCTCTTTAAAATTCAGATACCGCCCTTAAAAAGGCTTGTTGGTACCCTCTCTTTAAATTGTTTTTAATCACTCATGCGTGAAATATGCATTGTATGAGTTGCATCAACTGAAAGAGGAGGATCTAAGCTATAAAAATGTGTGTCATTTATTAATTATAATTGTGATTAAGTTATGATAAAACATCGATAATTCTCGGTTTCGTTTTTTCTGGGACGCTCTGTATATGAAGATTGATGAAACAGAAGATCATCACACACTATTTCAAAAGTTCGCTTAAACTTTTCTTATCAACTTTCTTCCCTCTCTTTTCATTCTTCTGCTATTATTTCCTACCCTCTGTCTGTCTACCTTACAATCACGATCATTTTCTTCATTTGAGAAAGATTGACATGCGAATTGATAGCATGATGCGCTGATGAGGTTGCGCACCATTCTGGGTGGTAATAGACCCTGGTAGGTTCCCCCTACTGGTGAGTAAACAGTGATCCTGAGTAGGGGGTTGACCCTGTGTGTTTAGAGAGTTAATGGGCTGGGAATAAGAAAGTGGTTGCCATTCACTGAAGACCTGTAGAGAAACTCATTAACCCTACACACCCCAAGCGAGACGTGGGAGATTTTAAAGGGGTTGGATGCGGCTATAGAATGGTGACTATCAATAGATTGGCTCGCAGACAGAGCATCGCTGGAGAGAGGATGACTTCTAAATTTAGGTCCCTACATTTCATTTTCATCAAATTTGAACATTTTCGACTTATGTCGGTATTTAAAAATAGTTGTCATAACTCTTGTTTTTGCCAAGTTTGGACATCCGAGTACCTTTCTTTTTTCTTATTTTCAAAATTTGAAAATCCGAGTACCATTTAAAAAAAAAATCTTGTTTGATGGAAAATTTCAGCCAACTTGATTGCATAGTAACCCCCCCCCCCTCCCCATTAAAAATGGCCAAGGCGACACTCTTCATTTTGATATTATAAGCAATTTCAAAGTCGTGCGGAATGCCCGGCCCCCCCCCCCCCCCCCCCCCCCCCCACTCAGGGTTCGAAATGACCGCATGCGTGTTGCCAAAATGTCCGGTAAAGGGGTACTTTTCGTGCGACAAAGTCCGGCCCGAGAATTGTAAAAAAAGGGGTGTATTTGACTTTTCACCCGGAGATTTCTTTAAAAAGGGGGTGTTTTTTTCTTTTTCTCTCTCATCTCTTTGCACTCCTAAGAAATTATTCCGAATTAAGGGGGGTACATTGACCATTTTTCATGATTTAGGGGGGTCTCCAAGGCAGGAAAAGCCCGCGAAAAGCCCGCGAAAGGGGGGTTCGGAAATGTTGGCAGTCCTCAGATAGGGGGTGCTTTCAAAAAGAGGGAACGAGCGTATGCGTACCCTAAATAACACTGAGTGGGGGGGGGGCCGGGGCGGAATGGAATTATCATTTCAATACAGTGAAGTTACAATACGAATATTTTCAATTTTGCGATGTCGAGACAACTCGTTGCAGCTACATTAGAACACAAAAAACAAATACCGCTGCCAAAGATAGCTACAAATACACCATTCTAAACACTGGACAAATTTTCTTTGGATATCACAAAGTGCCTTTATACCCCCCTTTTATACAAAAAACACATTACAGTCTTCTTTCTTTCCTTCTATTATTTTAACTGTCAACACTGAAAGCCCGAATACTTTCTCCTAACCAGCACCCCACCCTCCCTTTCTATCTTCTCTCCTATCCCATCTCCCATTCTCTCATCTCTTCCTCTTCTTTTCTCATTTATATATCTTTTTCTAGATCAACGAACTTAATGCAACCCTATATATTTCAGCTGGACCAATGTCAGAATGTAATAGTCTCGCTGCGGGAAGATAATAGCGCATCATCCGCAATTTGTCAAAACCAATTTGTTGCCTGCGTTGGTCGACATTTTTTCTCCGTAGTCATTTATTGTACAGTGGCGTAGCCCGGGTCCACCTATTGAAGGAGGACTGGTGTCATGGGTGGGGCGGTCTTATGTGAGGGGGCCTTGAGTGCAACTAAAGTGTGATAGATAGGAGTTGTTTTCCCTCTCTTCCTTTTCCCTTATTCTCCTTTTTTCTTTTCCTTTTTCATTTGAGGGATAAGCTAGGGGAGGGTGAGGGGGCCACCCCTAGCCATGCCTCTGTTTAGCTTTCCAATATTTATTGACGTCTCAACCTTTTTTTCTTGCATAACACGAGTGAGGTGAAAGTCACTTACCTGGGTGGTCTTCATCCATTTATTATCAATCTACATTTAACAAAAATTGCCCTTGGCTTTGCCACGCAATTTCCAAAACAAGACTTAAAGTGGTTTCTCCAAGACCATATCAATGTCAGTTAGTTTGTATCGATTGTATGTTTAACAGGTGTAACTTTACTGTTCGTAAACATAATGTAAATCATTTTATTAGTGTTTCTAGCAAGTATCTTATGACAACGTTGTAGAGGTTTTATAATGGTTGTTTTAAAATATACTTAACGCATTCAAACGTGTTAGTGACCAGTCCAAATCGATCTTGCACCCAAATTTATCACTCAATAATGTTTATTCTGATTGATCTAATTTATGAAGTAGACATTTTTTAGTAACGTATAATTGCACGATAATTAAGTAATACTGATTATTATTCATTTTTAAAGACTCTTCTGTCAAATGAAAGGAGAAAATGTTCCCTCAATAACGCAATCCCGCGGTAAAAGGTGACGGGTGGTCATCAGTTTTGATTCTCCACAAATTTGTAAGGCCAAATATATATTTTCTCCTCGTTCCCAATCAGTTTTGAGTGGTGTAATGTTAATAGCACCCATTGATTCACATGCTGTGCCATGAAGCCGCAAGAGGTTGCAGTTTCACTTTCGGAAATGACTTTTACAATTACGACAAAATAAGCTGACATATCTGGGATCACTCGACCTGGAGAGGATGCAATGGAACCCTAACGTTATTTTTACAACTGGCGTGAAAGAAAACTAGAGAGCGAGGCTATGATAAGAACTGTAGGTATTGGTCTACTAAACTATGCTAAAATGAGTCCAGGAAACAAAAATAGATGCATCACCTAGATCAACAAGTATTATATGTTATCAAACTAATAGATGTTCATATAAAACACGAAAGCAAAATTGATAAATATTTGAGTACCAATCGTTCTGTGGATATTTCGTTTTATGTTTGGTATGAATATTACATTTCAACCCCAATCCTTTCAAAGTTAAAAATACAAAGAGGTAAGAAAGAAATGAGACCAAAGGCCGAAATACCATGTTAGTTCTCAGTGCAAAAAAACACTCTAATATTCATAACAGAGTCGCCTTTAAACCGTGAAAGAAAAGAAAATAACGCGTTTGAGTTATCTTCGATGTTTCCTGTCACTTTCCGTTAAGAGTTATCATACCTAAGTGTTATTGTTTTAGCAAAATCTGAACGCTACTTACTCTGAGCTACTTAGATATATTGATTAATGTGCAGAAACATCTATCACTTGGATAAATATCATTCTTCAACTTTGGCAAATGAGTGAAAATGAGTAAAGTTAAGAATAGATTCCATTTCCAATTTCTTTAGCTCCAATTGTTTAGCCCCAATGAGCCATTCCTTTTTGAATTGTACTTCAACACAAGTGTCTTTTTAAGCACCTGTTGGTGATATTTTCAAATAGTCCACTTAAGTCTCCCCATGCAGGGAGGTGAAAGAAAGGAGTCGAAACTCTTGTAATTTATTCAAACGCATTCGTGAGTTCTAAAGCGTAACAATGGGATGTGTAACATTCCACTTGGCTTTGAAGTTCCATACTACGAGCCGCGCTTCCACTGCGGGAATTTTTGGAGGCCAGGCACCAGCCCGGACCCCCCCCCCCCCCCCCCACTCCGTGAACGGAGGGATACCATGCGTATTCCTAAACTCTCCGGCTCGTAACAAAAGAAAAAGGTCTACCCGTATTGACTTTACACACCGGACTTATGCTGAAAAAAAGGGGGGTGCTGAAAGAGGCTCGTATAACAAAAGAAAAAGGTCGACCCGTACACCGGACTTTTGCTGAAAGAGGGGGGGGGGTCGCTGG